ATCCAAAAGACTCTGAACGATAAATGCTGGCGAGGTTGCAGAGAAAAAGGAACTCTCATACATTGTTGGTGGGACTGCAAAATGGTGCAGGCTCTATGGAAAATGGTATGGAGGTACCTCAAACAATTGCAGATGGATCTACCATATGACCCAGCTATCCCACTGCTGGGAATATTCCCAGAGGAATGGAAATCATCAAGTCGAAGGTATACCTGTTCCCCAGTGTTCATCGCAGCACTCTTTACAATAGCTGAGAGTTGGAACCAGACCAAATGTCCATCATTGGATGAGTGCATATGGAAAATGTGGTATATCTAATGGAATACCACTCAGCTATAAAAAAGAATGAAATACTGCCATTTGCAACAACATGGATGGACCTTGAGAGAATTATATTAAGTGAAACAAGTCAGGCACAGAAAGAGAAATACCACATGTTCTCACTTATTGGTGGGAGCTAAAAATAAATAAATAAAGTAACACACACACACACACACGCACACACACACGCAAACCGGGGGGCGGGGGAGAAGACATAACAACTACAATTCCTTGAAGTTAATATGACAAGCAAACAGAAAGGACATTGTTGGGTGGGAGTGGGGAGAGGGAGGAGGGAGGGAGGTTTCGGTAATGGGCCACAATAATCAACCACATTGTATATCGACAAAATAAAAAATAAAAAAAATAAAAATAAACATAAATAAATAAGCATATCAGCAGGGCCATGCTAGGTCTTTTATTTGGTGTTTTTGTTTTTAAAAGGATCTTAACCCTTGGCTTGGTGTTGTCAGCACCACGCTCAGCCAGTGAGCTAACTGGCTATCCCTATATAGGATACAAACCCATGGCCTTGGTGTTATCAGCACCACCCTCTCCCAAGTGAGCCATGGGCCGGACCTTTTATTTAGAAAATAAATAAATACAAAAGAATCATAACGTGGGTATACCTCAGATGGTAACCCTCCATGCCCACCCTCCTCATTCCTTCCTGATCACCTCCTCAGGTAACCAGTGGTAATTTGGGGGGGGGGCAGGGGGAGGCAGCTGGCTCGTACAGAGAACCAAACCCTTGACCTTGGTATTACAAGGTTGCACTCTAACCAACTGAGCTAACTGGCCAACCCCACCAGTAGTGATTACTTGCTTGTTTTTCTTTATAGTTTTATTTTTCTAAAAATATGCAGTCTATTTTTGTGTTATGAAGTCTACATAAAAGTGGAATCATCACATATGCATGTATGCCTTGTTTCTTTGGCTTCCCACATTCCTGTAAGAATCATCTGTGTTGTTGTGTGTGGCTATGTGTGGTTTGTCCATTTTCCTTACATTACAATTTATTCTTTGTACCACTGATGGACATTTGGGTTGTTTCCAGTGTAGGCTTTTATGAACTGCTATGGGTTAAATGTGTCCCCCAAAAGATCATGTGTTAGAAGCTTGACCCCCCCCCCATTGTTAACAGTGTTAAGAGGGTGGGAAATCCAACAATTATGGTATTTGAAAGGTGGAGCCTTTAAGAGGTGATTGGATCTTCAGGACCATCCCTCATGAGTGGATTAATCCACTCATGGAGTAATGGGTTAATGATTTATCAGGGAGTAGTTCTGATGGCTTCGTAAGGACAGCAAATGAGCATGTTAACTGTCTTTCTCATAACATGCTTGCCATGTGATACCCTGGTCACCGTGGGACTCTGCAGAGACTCCCCACAAAGAAGACCCTCACCAGATGTAATCCCTGGACCTTGGACTTCCCAGCCTCCAAAACTGTAGGAAATAAATTTCATTTCTTTATAAATTACCCAGTTTCAGGTATGCTGTTACAAGCAACAGAAAACAGACGGATACATGAACCATGCCATTCTGAACCTTCTTAAGTGTGTCAGCAAGTTTTTGTAGGATTGGAATTACTGGGCCGTCAGGTACACAGAGCTTTAGCTTCACCAGATAAGGTCAAACTGTTTTCTAAAGTGGCTGAACCAGACCACCAGTGGTGTATGAGAGCTCTCCGTGTCATTCCTTCTTCATCCTCCAGATCCCTTCCTCCTGAGCACTTTCACCCAGTCTGGAACTGGCATTTTCTTTCCACATTGAAACTTTTTTTTTTAATCACTTCCTTTTTTTTTTTTAATCACAATTGCATGGTTCTTCCACATGTCTTCCGGCAATCTCAGTATTTTGAGTGTGTTAGAGTGGATGATGTTTGTAAAACACTTCAAAAATAAGCAAAAACACAGCAAAATACAAATTAATGAAGTAGCAGAGACTACGGTGATCCTTAGGGCCATCTTGCACCTGTTTGTGGCTGGCAGAATTGTAGTGCTTTGTGGGCTGGCCAGTTAGCTCGGCTGCTTAGAGCATGATGCTAACACCACGGTCCAGGGTTCGAGCCCTGTACCAGCCAGCCGCCAAAACAAATTGTAGTGCTTTATTCTGAAGCACAATTTTGTTCCTGGCTAGTTTATGAAATAAAAATTGGCGTGCTTGCTTCGGCAGCACATATACTAAAATTGGAACGATACAGAGAAGATTAGCATGGCCCCTGCGCAAGGATGACACGCAAATTCGTGAAGCGTTCCATATTTTTCACAATAGCCAAGAGCTGGAATCAGCCCAAATGTCCATCATCGGATGAGTGGATACGGAAAATGTGGTATATCTACACAATGGAATACTACTCAGCTATAAAAACGAATGAAATACTGCCATTTGCAACAACATGGATGGACCTTGAGAGAATAATATTGAGTGAAACGAGTCAGGATGAGAAAAAGAAGTACCACATGTTCTCACTTATTGGTGGGAGCTAAAAAAATAAACAAATTAATTTACCCAAAAACACACCAAAAAATACCGGGGGTGGGGTGGGGAAGAAGATATAACAACCATACTTTTTTTTTTGAAGTTCTTACAACAAGCAAATGGAGGAGAGGAAGATTTAACAACCTCAACTTTTTTTTTTTTTTTTGAAGCTCTTACAACGAGAAAATGGAGGGGACACATCTGGGTGGGAGGGGGGAGAGGGAGGAGGGAGGGAGGTTTTGGTGATGGGACACAATAACTAACTACATTGTATATTGACAAAAAAAAAAAAGAAATAAAAATTGGCAAGCATAATGGTAGATATATATCATTACAAATTTGTCAAAACTCAGCATATACAATATGAAGAGTAAACCCTAATGTAAAGTATGGGCTTTAGTTAATACAATGTATCAAGATTGACTCCAACTGTAACAAATGTACCACACTAATGCAAGATGTTAATAACAGGGGAAATGGTGTTTGGGGGGGTGGGAGGTAGGGGGAGTGAAGGTGTATATGGGAACTCTGTACTTTCTGCTCAATTTATGTAAACTTAAAACTGCTTTAAAAAAATAGACTATTAACTTTTAAAAATTGCAAGCAGAGTAGCTTCTTTCTTTTCTTTCTTTTTTTAAAAGATGACCAGTAAGGGGATCTCAACCCTTGACTTGGTGTTGTCAGCACCACGCTCTCCCGAGTGAGCCACAGGCTGGCCCAGAGTAGCTTCTTTCTTTTCTTTCTTTTTTTAAAAGATGACCAGTAAGGGGATCTCAACCCTTGACTTGGTGTTGTCAGCACCACGCTCTCCCGAGTGAGCCACAGGCTGGCCCAGAGTAGCTTCTTTCTAATGGTAAAGAAATTTCTGTTCCTCAAGACTTGAGAGTCTAGAGCTGGGATGAACACACTACTGCTTATGGACAAATCTGGCCCACTGTTTTTGAACAACCTTCCAGCTAAAAGTGGTTTTTATATTTTTTAAAAGCTTGAAAAAAAATCAAAATAATATTTTGTGAGTCACGAAATTTATGAAATTCTACTTTTAGTATTCATAAAGTTTTCTGTCTCTTTCCAGACAAAGTTTGTCAACCACTGGGCTAGAGAAAAGATGCAGGCAGTCTTTATAGAGTCAGGAGATCTGGGTTCTAACTCTATGTAAATGTGTGACCTTGGGTGAGTCACTTATCCTCACTAGGCCTAACACTAAATTCTGGAATGTAACTTCATGGGCAAGTTCCCACTGGAAGGTGGGTATGGATTTAGACCCCAACAAATCAAAAACACCTTCAGCTTTTCCAAAACTGATCACGCTATATAAATTGATCCTCGCTTTTAAGAAAACACTATATAATTTATTTTTTATTTTTTTGCTGGCTGGTAAAGGGATTGAACTCCTGGACCATGGTGTTATCAGCACCACGCTCTAACCAACCGAGCTAACTGGCCAGCTCTATATAGTTTTTTTAACCTGGAAAAATACTGGCAAATACGAAAAAGTAAAAAATGTATAAGGATGTTCATTGTATAAGGCATGTGTCGCTTATCAACAGGGATAAATTCTGAAAAATGGGTCATTAGAAGATTTTGTCATTGTGTGAACATCACATAGTGTACTTACACAAACCTAGATGGTATAGCCCACTACACACAGACTATATGGCATAGTCTATTGCTCCTAGGCTACAAGCCTGTATAGCATGTTACTGTAGGCAAATGTAACACAATGGTATTTGTGTATGTAAACATAGAAAAGGAATTTTTCAGCTCCATTATAATCTTATGGGACCACCATTGTATATGTGATCCATTGTTGACTGAAACATCATTTTGCAGCACATGACTATAATACCGTTACTATGATGGAAAAATTGGAAATTAAATGTACATAATAGGAAAATGGTTAAATACTCAGAAATCAAGACATATCCATCTCAGATAACATACTCTATGTTATTTCTAAGTTATTTCCAATAAGGCAGATCTCCAAGTATTCATGTGGATTGACTTCCAAGATGTATTAAATGAAAAAGGTATGCTATGAAGTAACAGAATGATCCCCCTTGTTTTATAGCAACACAACTATTTCTATACCTAGATACATATTGATGCATAGAATAAAAAAATCTAGACCAGCACTGTTCAATAGAAATATAATGGGAGCCATATATGTAATTTTATATTTTCTAGTAGCCATATTAAAAAAGTGAAAACAGCTAAAATTAAATTTAATATTTTATTAACCCAATATAAAACAAAAATTTTCATTCAACATGTAATCAATATAAAAATTAATAGCAAGACATTTTACACGTTTTTTCACACAAAGTCTTAGAAATCTAGTGTGTATTTTACACTTACACAGCAATTCTCAATTCAGGCTGGCCACATTTCAAGCGCTCAATAGCCACATGTGGCCAGCGGCCTCATATTAGACAGCGCGGCTCTAAAAGTAAACATATGAGAGTAACAACAGTGGTTACTCCTCCAGGGGAGGGGAAAAGAGATGGGGACTCTATTTTTCCTCTATATTCTTTTTTGTTGTTCAATGAAAACGGTTTCATGGATTATTTTATTTAAAATGAATAATAGAGGGCTGGCCAGTTAGCTTAGTTGGTTAGAGTGTGGTGCTGATAACACGAAGGTCCTGGGTTCGACCCACCCTGGCCAGTGCCAAAAAATGAAATAATATAAAATAAAATGAATAATAGATATTTAAAACCAGTTATTAGAAGTATTTATGTACTTCATGTTTCATTCCTTAATATTCTTATTAATCTATTCTGGGTTTAAGTATTGCAAACACAGTACTAACAAGAGAAGGGGAAAAAGAACTTGTTTAAAATGTGAACCATTAAGTAACAAGACTATTTTTACTAAATGGTTCAACCTGATAAACATTTTCTGAGTTTGAGCTATCTGTGAGGGGTTTGGCACAGTACATGGAAGAAAGAAAGAATGGGACATTGTCCTAAAAGATTTTTGGAGACAGCCTTTGAAACTGACTTTACAGCTGGCTTATTCTCTTCAGGCTGGATTTAATTTCAAGCAATAGCCAAAAGCCATCCAGTCGAGTTCAGTGTATCAAGCTAGATATATTGTTTCGTCTAAAATGAAGTGTGACTCTAGACTAAAATGACAGATTTTATTATGTGACTTTCAAGCTGGCAGCTCCAAATTACTTCCCAAAACACTTACTGTCAGCAACAATAAATTAAATGGACAGTGCAACATGACAAGATAACTACAGGGCAGAATCCTTAAAATGGATATGTTCTAGTTTCCTTATAAACAACATGTTATTCTATATTCACATAGCCCTGTATACATTCCTATCCTTTTTCCCTTCCTGATCATCTTCCACAACTTGCCAAGTGTGCAAAAATTAGGAGCCAGAAGATAATTCACAAGTTTCAGTATTCTGTAACAGAGTTAGAAGGAAGCTTTAAAGGAACCAGTTACAATTACCTCCTTTATTTCTTGTAACTTATAATTTATCTCACGCTTTTTAAATGTAAAGGGTAAAATTTAGTTTTTACTTTGCTTAGGACCCATCAGTGATTTGATTGCTCTTGTTTAAGCGTTATCAAACGCAACGACAGAGAAGAAACTATTTTCCTGGTATCCTATATATATTCTGAAACAAGGGGCCATCAGGACATTTTTGATTACCTAGAAATTCTGGAACGGAGTTTGTTTTCTAATTTTTTTTAAAAAAGAAGGGTCTGGGCTGGCCGGTTACCTCAGTGGGTTGGAGCTCAGTGTTGACAACACCAAGGTTAAGGGTTCGGATCCAAGTACTGGCCAGATGCCCCTCCCCAAATAAAATAAGTAAAATAAAAGAAGGCACTAAAAATGCTAAGAGATATAACTCCAAGGTCAAGGGTTTGGATCCCAGAACCGGCCAGCTGCTAAAAATTTTTAAAAAAGCTAAGAGAGTGTAGATAAAGGAAAGAGAGAGAGGAGGTGGTTATGACTCCAGATTAGAAAAATTGCACAGAATCATATTAAGGGGCAAGAGACCTAAGCCTAACCTCCCCCTTTTACTATCGTGAAAATACCCAATGTTTACTAAGACCGTCTACGCTACAGGCGGGATGCTTTGCAAGTCCCAGAAGAGGTCGTGTGCTTTTCCAAAACAGCCACACAGCGAGTGGGGGCACACACTAGGTGGAGCTGACTTCTGGGTTGACTCTTTTTTTTTTTTTTTTTAAAGATGACCGGTAAGGGGATCTTAACCCTTGACTTGGTGTTGTCAGCACCACGCTCACCCAGTGAGCAAACCGGCCATCCCTATATGGGATCCGAACCCGTGGCCTTGGTGTTATCAGCACCACACTCTCCCGAGTGAGCCAATGACCGGTAAGGGGATCTTAACCCTTGACTTGGTGTTGTCAGCACCACGCTCACCCAGTGAGCAAACCGGCCATCCCTATATGGGATCCGAACCCGTGGCCTTGGTGTTATCAGCACCACACTCTCCCGAGTGAGCCAATGACCGGTAAGGGGATCTTAACCCTTGACTTGGTGTTGTCAGCACCACGCTCACCCAGTGAGCAAACCGGCCATCCCTATATGGGATCCGAACCCGTGGCCTTGGTGTTATCAGCACCACACTCTCCCGAGTGAGCCACAGGCCGGCCCCTGAGTTGACTCTTTAAGGATGAGAAGGAGGTCAGCTGGGGGACAACATGAAGAACCTTCCAGCACCTTCCAGTCTTCAGATCCTGGAGGCCAGCCAAGAAAGAGGCCTCCTCCCCTTGCTGACAGCCTCCTCTCACCTCCTTCGCTGCACCTCACCCCTGCCCCCACTCCCGCCTTAAAGTCCTTAACATTCCTTCCTGGGGGGCCTCCTTGAGACGATACTCTCTCTTCTGCCTCTTCCATCAGTCTTTGGGGTCTCTGCTCATCGTCCTCCCTGTCTTTGAGGATATCATCAGACCCTTCCTAGAACTTCGGACGTTTCTCAGCCTTCAGCTGTGGAGCTCCCCCTCGGCCCCTCCCTCGGTTGGAGGGGTCCCCATCTCGGTTTGTAGAGTCCCTTCTCCCCCTCTATGATGTCGCCTCCCTCGATCTGCAGGTTCCCTTCCGTCCCAGAGGTCCCCTCCCTCGGGGTGCGGGGCCTCCTCTCTCGGCCTGCAGTGTCCATTCTTCCCTCCCCGAGATCCCCTCCCTCAGTCCGCGGGGCACCCCCTAGCCCGACTCCCCGACTCACCTCGCCTCCACCCGCTCTGCTCAACTCTCGCGCGCTGGGCGCGGGGATGGGGCGCGCACGCCGGGCGGCGGCGGCGCGGGG